TTTCACTAAATACCGAGTGCACACCATGGCGCCTTGTAAGCTGAACTGATTGGGTTTACGAAACAGAAGTTGTAGTGAAAAAGAACGGAATCTGGACAACTGATGCGAACAGATGGTATGCTATCAGCTAATGTGTTGAGTACCCGACTTGCCTTAATCTCAAGCCTACGGAAGTGTGATCAGTGAGTCAAAGGGAGGAAATTCTGTACACGTACAGGACAGGCTCGGGACAGCTGTGGTTAAGGCGCCACGGTAGATCCATGGTTCGAACCCAACCTCAGAATATCGACTGCTCCTGTCTGGGCTTGAGCAAGGGATCCTTCCGCTTCTTATCGGTGCTACCTACCAGGATGGGGATCGCGTGATGCCTACTGCGCCTGGTTGGAGATGCTGCAAAATATGGCTGCTAATCGATGTCAATTGCGTTTGTGTTGTCAGTTTACATCCAGATTGCCTGAATGAGTGTCTGGAGGTGTAGGCACCTCGGAATGAAAGAGGTAGCACGAAGCCTCTTCCCTATCCACATTTATTCTTTTCCTCACAATAAGGTTCTCAAATAAATCATGGTTTTATGGCAGCGAAGCATCATTCTTGAACACTGATGTCATGCTATCCATGATCAGGCTTGGCTAACCCGACAGTATACAAACCCTCGTGCCTCCATCCATTAGCACGGCAGCTAGGCACCGAAAGGGTGCTTTTATTTATTATTAGCAGACAGTCTCTACGGAAACCTGCTCATAAAATGTGGACATTGGTCGCAACAGTTGTGATCATTCCGCTTCGCAGGCGCCCGGATTAGACAAACTACTTGGGCTTGACGAAGAGGCACACTTATTCGTGAAGACATCAACGTCTCGCTGTATTGATGGAAAGAGTCAGGAGCATAGTTAGTAACTAGATGCGGAAGTTAATATGCAACAAGGTGCATGGTGCTCCTGACTAATATTGGAGCAGGATGCAGTATTTCGATGGAAGACACTCCGGAAACATGTGATTAGGCAGACCAAATTATCCAACATATTTGCATTTTGGAATGGTCGGAACCAGACTGCATGTCACCTACCCACTCCAAATCAGTAAGGTCTTCGAGAACTAGGCCGATACATTATGCGGTACAACTCTCCACAGACGTTTCAGTAACGATTCTGAAAAGGACAAACGCTACTTGCGGAGATAACCTCAATGAAATATTCCGTATGCATTTAAAAGTTCAAAGGTGTTGAAGTAGAGTGCAGGGATGAGCGCAATGACTTGGGACGTATTCACTGGACAGATTGACAAAAGCACAACAGAGTGAACTGGATGGTGTCCTACGATCGCACATAAAGATCACACTGGACGGTCCGCGAGCGAGGGTTCGAAAAACTGACCTGATCGCCCGTTGGAATTCGGTCAGATATGACAGGACGGGCTTCTTATGCACTGACTACTACTCCAGACCTGGAACATCCGTTGAGGAAGCTTTAAGGCCGATGCTAACGTTTGCAATGAAGGGCAGGAGCGGGTACGCAACATTTCAACCCGGTTGACAGATAGCATGCCACCTCTGAAAAAGTTGAGTAACCCATGACTTCAAGCCCACCATCAATGTGACCAGAGTAATGAATTGGCCAGTCCATAAAAGCAACAGGGGGAAGCAGCTAAATGCTGCTCCCTGTAGGCCACGTGATTCATCAGTTAATTGAGAATCCTTAGTAATATAGTTTATCGGGAGACATACCCTTAGTGACCGGTCCCAAATAACTACGCTGGTAAGATACAAAGGCTTATACATGCTCCTGATCCCTACAAGGCGTACGAACCACCAAGGGTTTACCAGTTCACGGCAGCCCCAGTGAGGGTCGTTTACTTTGCCTACAGTAGCAGAAAATACTGATATTATAATATTTATCCAGCCTGAGTAAGAAACTAAAGAGCAGTTTGCTTGTGAAGTCACCCCGAAAGCGCCACATCTACTCCCAAATTGATTCACTAGCAAGGACTGATGAATCCAACGAACAGGTGTCGGCAAGCAATGCGGACAAGCTACAGCATTCCAGCTACATTCGGCGTATCATAGTTAGCTGTAGTCAAACTCGACCTACCCCATTGGTACATCATCATCATCATCATCATCGACAGCATGACATCAGTGTTCAACACCGATGCTTCACTGCCGCACAACCGTGATTTATTTGAAAGCCTTATTGTAGAGAAAAGAGTAAAGATGGACGGGGAAGGTACTTAGTGCTAGCTTAACACAATCATTCCGAGGTGTCTACACCTCCAGACATTCACTCAGACAGTCTGGATAGAAACTGACAACAAGAACGCCACTGACATCGGTTGGCAGCCATATCTTGTAGTGTCTCCAACCAGGCACAGT